GCTGAAATATGTTCTTCTGTCTCTGTGCAACATACTTTCTCTTTGAAATCTGTGTGCTCGATGTGATTTGGACCTAAGCTAGTTAGATGTCTTCTTAAAGTCCGTTACACTAGATTAGAACGCCAAAATTTTGATGAGGGTTATGCTTTTATATTGCAATCACGGGTGCTGATGATAGTCTGGCTATCAGGGGAAGATTGTAAATTAGCATTTTCCTTTGCAGGTGTTGTTAATCTTCAAAATGGGTACAAGAGCGGCACTGCTATATTTGCAAGAGGAGTTCCCTCATGCTTAAGTACAAGGAACAAGTTCTTTGGTGTTCCTAGCTGCACTGGTTCATCATCATCGAAAGGAGATGCAGAGGATCCTGGAGCTTCTCCAGACCGCGAAAATGTATGTACAGAGAACTATAATTAACATTGAAACTGGCCTTTGATTAAATGCATGTTTCGTTGTTTAATAGGTATCTTCATATATGGTAACCATTGCAAATGCATAATGATAGAAGTTGAGTTCTTTTGGTTTTAAGCTTAGGAAAATGTTTCCAGGGGATCCATGTGTTTGTCTTCTTAGAACAACTTATGGACGAATTTGTAGAGTCATTACAGTTTGTTGCATTAGTCTGAATTTTGCAGCAGGGCTTCTTTTGCATTTTAAGAAAGTGAGAAACAAATGAAACTAGTTTTCTACCCTGAAAAATTTGGACCATTGAGACTGTAAGACCTGACTCAAAACTGGTCAAAACTATCTGAAAGAACCTGTATTTGATCTAGAAATGACATTGGATAAAGTTCAAGCATGTGATGACCAATGAGAACCTGTATTTGATCTAGAAATGACATTGGATAAAGTTCAAGCATGTGATGACCAATGATAGCAAGGCTATGTTGATGTCTCATAAATGACATTGGATAAAGTTCAAGCATGTGATGACCAATGATAGCAAGGCTATGTTGATGTCTCATAAATGGTGGCCCCTGGAACATATTTGTAACATGTTGAGGAATTTTCTCTCTTTGTTTCTATGTTCATTCTTGTTAGCAGTATGCACTGGGTGCAGCTTTAAAATTTACTATTTCTTTACCTTGTATAAATATCATAATATACAGGTTTCACCTAACATCGTTGTCATAGTCAAACAATTAACTTTTCAATGCCTGAAGTTTTATTCATTCAGCTTCGATGAACTTCTATCAAGAAGGTATTTAACCTGCAACATTGAAGAGATTCATGTCCTCTCATTCTCTCCATCATTTGTTAGATGTTAAGTTTTCAGGTGCTCAAATTTAGTTACAAATTTCCTTATTTCTCAGAGATTCAATACTTTTGCCGAGCATTCTTTGTATTTTCTCCTTTGTTTTCCTCCTCTTCAAAATATTAGTTTCTTAAGTTTCTTTGATAATTGATTTTTTTTCCTCACCAAAATCTTGCTCCTCCAGAATAGGCAATTAAAGTATCTTCCTAAAGTACTTGTTTCTTGGGTTCCTCTTCATGGTTTAAATTCATATATCGTCTCCAATTAATTCCTTGTCTTCCTTCAATTAACTCTTACAACTTGAATAAATCAGTCTATATTTCTTTTGAAGTCCTTTCCGCTGCACCAAAATCCGAAGTCGTGTTGAGGGTTATTAATTTATACGGTAACATGCCCATCTAGGTTGAATGCCTTTTTATGGGTCAAAGACACATTTAATCTGCTTTGGAAAATCCTCCGATGGTTAAGATTAAGGGTTATAATTGTATGCAGAACCTTATATCATGGGTGTTGTATGTCACTTCTGCTCTGAGCTCATAAACATTTACATTTTAATCATTCTAATTCCAGTTTATTCTAGTCATGTAAATGCTCTGTAATTTCCTCATTCTAATTCCAGTTTAAGTTTTAATGAGGTGCTTTTGTGATATCGAATAGGTGCCCTTTGGATACTCGAGAAAAGATGTCTTGCTAATTGGTCTTGGGCTTACTGTGCTTGGAGTCGGTTTAAAAAGTGGACTCGAGGTATGACCCCTGTACTATCGCCCAATTACACATAGACCCCCTGTAGTGCTATTGTTGCTGATAGACCCCCTGTACTATCACCCAATAGACCCCCTAAGATTTTTTTTTGTATTCTTTTACCCTCAGAGTCTAGTTGTCTGAAATTAATTTTCTCTTCCATTAGGAGTACAAAGAGAAAAAAATATACTCAGGGGCCCTATCTGGGACAGAAGGACCTCAGGGGGCTATCCACAATTAACTAATAAGATATACCACAGGTTTTACTGCTTCATTACTAATTTTCTTATTGGTTCAACTTATTTCTTTCCATATATTTTTTCAGTTTGTTGGAGTGGATCCTCTACAAGCAGGTAATGTGGTGCAATTAGTGTTGGTGTTGGGGCTAACTATCGGTTGGATTTCTACATATATGTTCAGAGTGTCGAACAAAGATATGACATACGCTAAGCAGCTAAAAGACTACGAGTACAAAGTTATGGAGGTCAATTTACCTCTCCCTTATATTGTTGCAATTTTTTCGTATAGATGTATGTACTGTAATTATTGATGGCAACTATGGTTTTACCTTGAAGTTGTTCTTTTAACATTTTACCATGAATTTGTTCATTTAACATTGTTTTAGCACTGCATAATGTGATCTTGACATTACCAAAAAGGGATAATTTTACAACCTACCATGAAACTTATTCGGGTTTTGCACAAAAACACTGTAAAGGATTTTTATTAGAGAAGAATACTACAATGTTATAGGTTGGAACTGTTTTTTTAAGTACTTTTTAGTCTTTAATAAGTTCGACAATGTCAATCATCAGTGTGAATGGGAAACACCCCACTTTCTTGGTATGTTTAAACATTTTGGATACACCTTTACTCTTCAAACTGCGCACTTGATAGAAAAGGACATAATTTACAATTTCTAATTAGGAACCTTGAAGGTAGTATTACAAGTTTCAGTTGCTTGAGGTGAAACCTTGTAATTGCCACGGGAAATTAGACAAAAAACTGAAGAATTTGTTTAGATATTAAAATTTTTCTATATCTAACCCTGAAAATTCTTTTTCTTGCAGAAACGATTAGAGGGGCTCAATGAAGCTGAACTCCAAGCGCTTTTAGAGCAAGTAGAGGAGGAAAAGAGTCGACTCGGCAAAAGAGAGCAGGCTTAAGCAAAATTTCTGATGAAAATTTCCTTTTATTTCTAAAAATCACCAGAAGAGATTTTCACCATACATTCCGTTGCGAAACATATTTTCTCAGATGTATTGTTTGTATATCATGGCTAACAGTAGTTAGTCTGTTTGTAATTAATATAAAATTACGATGAACGTGTGGAATGCAATTTTTCAGTTTTTACCTTGTTTTTCCACTTAATTTGTCTTGGGATATATATGACAGGATGAGTTACTGATATTCAAATGTGTTCAGAACCTTTAATAAAATATTTTGTTTATGAAAATATAGAATATTTTTTGAAATTTTATCTCTTTGATTTCTGTTGCAATTTTGTTGCTATAATGGTGGCTTCTTTAAGTTGGAATTGCTAATCTCTAGTAATTGGATTTCGCTGGTATTGCTATTTTATTTGCTGACTTTTTTTTTTGATGAAATTTTATTTGCTGACATTGGAGCTATTGTTTGTGGTTGATTTGATGGTAGTGTTGGAAAAATTATGTCAACGCATTTATGACATATTTTCCCACATTTTCATGTATACTTCACCTTAGTTTGATTTTCAAGACCAACAACAAGAGTGAATTGAAGTTCAAAACCTCTGGCGGAAGCAAAAAAAAAAAAAAAAAGCAACAGATGTTGATCTTTTTGTTAACCCTAATAGTGGTCTTCGGAGAAGAAATTTGGTATAACAAAGCTTTATCCCATAAGATGTTTAAGATAGCCTCAGATCAATTTTTAAACTTAGTTTCCTCCAACCTCCCATGCACATACTGTATGGTGCACTTGAAATCTTTTTATCGGTAACATGATAAACTTGAAATAACATCTCAAGCTAATTCCATTGCTAAGAGAAGAAATCAGTGAACTGAGAAGCACATTGAAGACAGAGCATGACATAATTGAAGGATGTGAGTTTGAGCACATTGAAGACAGAGCATGACATAATTGAAGGATGTGAGTTTGAGCTAAGGGACTGTCATCATAAAATTGCCAAGATGAAAGAGGAGTTTGATTTGTGCAATGGTGAAACTGAGACATATTTGCAGGAGATGGTAAAAGCGAAATATCTTTGATGGAGGATGAAATTCAGTCACAGAACATGAAGATGAAGATGTTGTTTAGGGTTATTTGGTCATTTGTTTTTCTTGTATTTGGCTTAAGTTTGTATGTAGTTAGAATAGGGTAATTCATTATGTTATTTGGTGTCATGGGTGTAATGTATTTGTATATGATTCCTGAGAGAGGAATTTGACTTATGTAACAGAGATTATAATAAAATGAAAGGTTAATTTTGATCAAATTTGTTTGGAAGTTTTTGTGTGAAGATGTATGAAAATATTTGGTGTCATTTGGTGTCATACATGTTTTATTCAAAATACATGTTTTATTCACAATCTGGGCATGTTCACTATGTACATGCACGTTTTATTCAAAACCTGTGCATGTACACTACGTATATGCATGTTTTATTCAAAATCTAAGCATCTTCACTATGTATATGCATGTTTTATTCAAAATTTGGGCATGTGCACTATGTACATGGATGCTTTATTCAAACTCTGGACATGTGCACTATGTACATGCTTGTTTTATTCAAAATTTGGGCATGTTCACTATGTACATGCATGTTTTATTCAAAATTAAACCATGTACACTATGTTTATCATCATCATGTCAATAAATCACAATCAACATGCATAATTGAGAATGTCACACACACATATTATCCATATTATCATTGCAATATTGAGAATTCACTGACATCACCAAAAGTCTTGTACATGGATTACCTTCAGCCCCAAAAATATTCTCCCACATACATATAAGTTAGACAAAGCTTGCAAAATATAATACAATATGTTATTATCTTCCAGAGTTAGCAAAATTACATGCATTATAGCTTTTACTCAATCACTTGGGAATCATTTTGTGATGGAGTGTGAATGACTCTAGCAGCTATTTGAGTTGAAGCTCTATATGCCATTTGACCATCATCTCCCCATCATATACCATAACCTTCACGTATCCTTGATGAATAGCTTCTACCTCTTCCTCTGCCTCTTATTCCACCCCTTCATGTGACTTGTGAATGCCCTGCATCACCATTGCCTCCTACATGTCTTCTTTGCTATAAATTTCTAGTTCTCCTGGCTCTACTCTCTCTTATTAATGTAGTTGGTATTTGAGTATCTTGATTTGTTGTGTTTTCATGTAATTGGCTAATTCTTTTTTTTTTCTCCCTTTTGGTCTTCTAATTCTGGCTGATTGAGTTGAAGCTCCTTCAGTTGCTTGTGGTTCCTAAAATGTTAGTAAAAGGTGCACATATATGATACATAATTGACAGTGTGCATATATTTGAATTTTTAAAAAACCACTTACTTGTGTAGCATTTTGTCTTGGAAGAGGGCAATTCCTCCTTGTATGTCCACTTTGACCACAGTTAGAGCACTTGGTATAGACTCTTGCTCTTGATGCCTTACCAGATTTCTTGCTTTCTTCATTAGGATCCCTTCTTTTAGCAGTCTTGGGCATGCCTAGATTCTTTTTAGCATGTTAGGGGGCAAGACCATATCGTCTCCCTCCATATCCCATAATTTACTTCCTTCAACATGGTTTAATAGTGTATGAAATGTTAATAAATAGGTGTCATATGCATAATAATTTGACACATAAGCTTCGGGTTGTTTCCTCATGAACAGAAGTGCACTGATAGCATGTACACATGATACCCCAATCAAATCCCACACCTTACAAGTGCATGTCATGTTTGCTAAACTCACATCATGGCTGATTCCCTCATGTTTAACTTCAACCCCTCTCTCTTCATCAGTCCTACTCCAATGAATCTCACAATTTTTTTTTGCTCTTCATATGCCTCTTGTAACCTTTTATTATCCTAGGAGATATGTTACTTGTTAAATGAAATGTCTCAACCAGTTTGAATTTTTGTTGCATCCTACCCATCAAACCTAACCTTATATCTTCTAGCATGGGTACTATTGGCTTATATCTTGCCACCAGAATAAAAGAATTAAAAGTTTCAGCCATGTTATTATCCACCACATCATAATTTCTATGAGTTTTAAAGCGAGACTTACAAAAAATGTTTGGATCCCTTGACATGAAATCCTCATAAGCTTGATTTGAAATTGATTTAAGAATGTTAGTTTCCTTTGCAAACTCCCATATAGTGGTCACTTTGACACAATTCCATAATTTCCTTTGAAGTGATCTTCTTGTGTGAATCTTCCTCCAATTTGAATAAATATGCCTAGCACATTGTCTATGCTCAATATCTGGCCACTCCTCATGAATAGCTGGTACCAACCCCTACAAAACATGTTAAGACAAGTAGCAACTCAGAACAAGTGAAAAAAAAAACAGAACTCAATAGTATACAATGTCAGTTAATTAGGTTACCTTTTGTTGATCAGAAGTGATAGTCCAACCTTCACCACTACCCATGTGTAAATCAGTATTCAGCACCCTTAGAAACCACTGACATGAAGAGTTTGTCTCTCCCTCTACAACTGCCCATGCAATAGGCCACATTTGGTTATTTCCTTCTCTACCAACAACACTCAACAATTGTCCTCCACAAGCATGTTTTAAGAAACAACCATCAACACCAAATATTCTCATACATGAGTGTGCAAATGTAGTTTTCATGATATCAAAATGATACATAGAATCTAAGAAAAGTAGTTGGCTGACCATCCTCTGCATTTATAACCTTTATCACACATGTAGTATTTGGATTAGACCTACATACCTCTCTCATATATGGTCTCAATAAACCATACTTCTTTTTCATCAAGCCATCCACAGCATCTAAGGCTCTTTCTTTAGCTCTTTGACGTTTTCTTAAACAAACATTAACCTGATAATTAGCAACCATGTCCTCTTTCATATCCACTGGCCTAAACTTTGGATTTCTTAAAATCTTATCAAGATATTCATGGGCTAACCACACCTCTGTAATTAGTCTATTTTTGAAAATTCTGCTACAAGTGTGATATAAGTGTATGCTTTTAATTTGCCATGAGTCCTGATCTTTCCTATTTGGATATGCATTAAATTGCCAATGACAATGTGCACGAGAGACTGGTATTTGCTTATTGTCATTCTTCACATACACCAAGTCATAATGCTTCTGAAGTGAATAGTTTAGAATTGTCTCTTTCAGTGTGTTTCTAGATGTGACCTTCAAGGCTTCAACCCCTCTTCAAAGTAAACTGCCCTCATATCGTTATCCTCATTGAACCACTTGTAGTTTACCTCCTCCATCCTTTTCTTTTTCTTTTTTATTCACAATTTCATCTTCATCATTATCCTCTATGGCCCCCTCATCATCACTGGCTCTTTATTCAGATCAATACCCCCCCTTCATATGATGTCCAAGCATTTGGCCATTTGCTTTTCTTAGGAATAATTCATTTACCTCTTTTACCTTTGAGGGTCAACCTCTTATCATTGCCTTCTGCTCTTAGTGCATCACTTGACACAGTAGGAGGTGCATTAGGTGCATCAATTGACCCAATAAGTGGTGAATCAATTTGTGTCTCATTTGGTGCATCATTTGTGGCATTTGGTGCATCATTTATGGCATTTGATGCATCACTTGACACAATTGGAGGTGTATTTGGTGCATCAATTGACACAATAGGTGGTGCATAACTTTGTGTCTCATGTGGTGCATCACTTGTAACACTTGGTGCATTAGTACTTTGGTTTGCAGTGTGCATTTTTACTCTCCTGTGAGGACCTTCACCTTTGTTTGATAATAACACCCTAGTTTCAACTACAATTATACCCTTTACATCAACAAAAAGCTTCTTATTTCTTTGCCTTACTTCAAATAACTCATCATTATCACTATGTAAAGCCTCTTGAGCTTGACTATCAAAGGAATCAACTGACTTCTCACTAGCATACCCAACATTTGCATTCATATTTGTTTCTCCATCTTGATTTGGATCTGCATTGACTTGAGCACTCACATCAAGTTCATCAACTTCTTCATGTGGTGAATAGGATCTATATTTTCATGTGGTGGACTAGGATATTGTATTTCTTTTTGGGATACAACAAGGCTATTTTTTTCATCTCGGTGTAATCTTTTTCCTTGACACAATTTCTTAGTCCTTTTGGGAGTGGTTTGAGTTGGTTCAGGATTTTTGGCAGATTCTGATTGATTAGGGATATACGATGATGGTTCACCAACACTCTCCAATGGCACATCCACCTCAACAGGTATATCAACACTATCATCAGCAAATATCTCTACCACTCTATCTTTATTAGCTTGCTCAAGCATTTCAAATAGTTCATTATGTGTCTTTAATTTTCTCAAACCCCCCAGACCTGGTAAAGAATAATACATGAAGAGCACATTGCTATACTCATAGTTTTCTAGACTTTGTCTGAGAAGAGGTAATGAAAATGCATCTTTCTCAATGAATTCAACATTAAAATTTCCTCCAATATAGTCGACAATATCACCCTCACTTAATACTATTTGATCCCCATATCTAAATTTCACCATGAAAGTCCCACTCATCTGTTGAAAATTAAAAAATAAAAATAAAAAAGCATGAAAATTTACCACCAAAACCAAAAAATAGTTCTTCCAAATTTCAGCAAACAAACCCTAACTTCTAAATGATCAAATGACTTTGCCCTTGAACCCATACACCAACTTTGAGTCTTCATTACAAATAAAATCCCAAACAAATATAAAAAAACCTTAAATTTCATAATTTAAACTCACCTTTGAGGACCATGAGAATGACCCTCTCTTCAATTCTTCTTCAATTCGACGTAATGCTCTGAGCCAACTTCTAATCTTTGCCAACTACTTCCTTTCTGACTCTGCTTCGTCCTCTCTATCTCAATTTCAATTTGAGAATTCAGATTGATTCGGATCTCTCCCCTTTCAGTTTTCCCCCATCTCAATTAGGGTAGTTATTATCCCGCCCAACTCTCCTTAATACGTGTCACGTCAGATTACCGTTTGTTTTTTACGATCACGAGCGTTTTTTTAGCCGTTAGGTAAAGTTCCGGCGTCGGAGATGCCTTTGTGTCATCGAATTGTAACTTCATAGGCCAAACTGTTGCCTGAGTCACTTTTTAGACTAAGGGCATGTTCGTTTGCCTTAAAAAAATGGGAAATCAAAGAAATAGAAAACTATTTCTAAGAAAAATGGGTTTTTGAATTGTTTGGTTGGCTAAAAAAAAGGAAATCAAAGAAATGGAGATGAGATGAGATGAGTTGTCACATTATTATTGGATGATGTGAGTGATTTTTTAAGAAAACTAGTTTTGATGTTGTTCGGTTGGCGAAAAAAATAAGGAAATGAATTATAAGAAACCTATTTCCTGTAGTTTTGTTGTTTTCTTTTGTTTGGTTCATTCTTAAAAATAAGAAATGAAATGAGATGAGATGAGTTGTCATTGTATTATTGGGTGATGTGAAGAAAGATTAAGAAAAGTGTTTTCACAACTTTTTGGGATGAAAACAAAGAAATGAAATGTTAATGAGATGAGGTGAATTGTTATAATATTTTATTCGATGATGTGAGTGATTTGAAACGATGAAAAGAGATGAGTTGAGTGATGTTTGGATGAAAACAATATTTTATTAGATGTGATGGATGAGTTGTTAGATGAAAATAATATTTTATTAGATGTGGTGGATGCGTTGTTAGATGAAAATAATATTTTATTAGATGTGGTGGGTGAGTGGTTAGATGAAAATAATATTTTATTAGATGATGTGGATGAGTTGTTGAATGAAAATAATATTTTATTGGATGTTGTGAGTGAGTTTTAGGAATAAAAATAAAAGAAATGAATTATTTTGATATTTCCACCTTTTCCATTTTCATTTCTTGATTTTTAAGAAATAAACGAACAAGCCCTAAAGTAATTTAAGTGTGTCACTTAATAAACCAATTTAATATTTTGGCTCTATCTCTAATGTAGAGTAAGACGGATGCAAAACCCAGGAGGAATAGAGGATCCAGCCCAATTTCGAGTGGAGTGCCACGTGACCTCTGAAAAGCGCCATCTTTGACTCTTTTCAGATGGGCCCACCAGGGATATTTATGTAATCATACACCTCACTTTTTACCGCCGTTACGGATCTCGGTGAAAAGCCAGCTTTTGACACTCCCGTGAGCTGGGCCCCACCGTCTCCACCACAGGAACAGTAAGAGGAAGAAAAAATTAGCAGAAAATAAAGCCACTTCCTCTTTTTAGAGATTTCTAAAATGAGAGTGGAGACGCCAAATTGAAGTTTGAGCGAAGAAAGATTTCAACTTTCTAACAGCAGAAAGAGGGCTAACCCTAGCTCTCATTTTTGAGGTATACATTCCCCCCAAAATCTCCGTGCTTTTTCTTTTTTCGGTAGGTTTCGATCGTTTTGAGCTGTTTTACTCAAAAATTTCTGAAATTGGTTCAAACCCATTTCTAAAGTTGCAATTTTGAGAGCACCCATTTCTTCAAAGTGCCGTCTTGATTTAGGGTTTAGCTTTTCCTTTTGATTTGTCAGGTTTTTTCTTCTTCTTCTAGGGTTGTAGTTAAGTTCTTACATGAGTCTCATTTTGTTTAGCTTCACGCTGGTTTGAGTTAAGAATTTGGGCAAGGAAATGAAATGAAATGGGTAAATTACTTAGTTAATTGCTTAATTAAACTTGGGGTTTGTCTTGTGCTTGCAGCTGCTAGTGCTTAAATTGCAATGGAAACCCCGAATGCATCCAGTGAAAATGTAGGGTTAGATGTTAAACCCTTGAGAACACTATCACCTATGTTCCCATCAACCTATGGCATCAATTCAGTTTCCCAATCTAATGCACATCCCTTCATCTACATCTCCCCCTCTGAACACTCATCATTCCCTCCTTTTGCTGCTCCGAATCAACCTGTACACTCAACTCCTATTCATGCCACACCGATTTCTAATGGACCTAGACCAAATTTGTACTCCAATGGCACCCCAACATTTTACTCCCCATCTATTGATCTCCTCGATGAGGAAGACGAAGAAGTCCTGCCCAGTGCTCAAACTTCAGCCTTTGGTAGGAAAATCAAGAAGCCAAGTCATTTGGGTGGCTACCAAGTTGGCAGTAATTCTGTTACAGATGGCAGCACTTCTACTCCAGTGAAGACGCCGCAGAAAAAGAAGCCCAAAAAAGTTCAGAAAATTGACTCAGGTTTGGTGCCTTCCCTTCTTGATCCTAGAGACTCAGTCGAGATTGTTCTTATGACTTTTGATGCTCTAAGACGGAGGTTATCACAGTTGGAGGATGGAAAAGAAGGGAAAAATTCACGCCCGGATTTAACGGCCGCAAATACTTTGATGACAAATGATCTCAGGGCGAATAGAGGGAAGAGAATTGGTTCAGTTCCCGGTGTTGAAATTGGAGATATTTTTTATTTTAGGATGGAGTTGTGTATTGTTGGTCTTCATGCTCCGAGCATGGCCGGAATTGATTACATGTCCGCTCAATTCAATGATGGTGATGACACTGTTGCTGTTAGTGTTGTGTCAGCTGGTGGTTATGAGAATGAAGAGACCGATACTGAATCATTGATTTATAGTGGACAAGGGGGTAATGCTAACATTGATCAGAAGCTTGTAAGGGGGAATCTTGCACTGGAGAGAAGTCTGCATAGAGGAAATACAGTTAGAGTCATTCGCAGTGTAGGAGATTATACCACGACGAATGGTAAAATTTATTTCTATGATGGTTTGTATAAGGTCCAGAGCTCATGGGTTGAGAAAGGAAAATCAGGTTTTAATGTTTTTAAATTTAAGTTGTTGAGGGAACCAGAGCAGTCTCCTGGACTTGCTATATGGAAAATGACACAGCAGTGGAAAGATATTCCAGCCTCGAGAGGCAGAATGATATTGCCGGATTTATCCTCTGGCGCTGAAAACTTACCGGTTTGCCTTGTTAATGAAGTTGACGATGAGAAAGGACCAAGCCACTTCAGATACAGTACTAAAGTTGCGTATTTAAGGCCTCTTAACTCCATGAAGCCTTTGGAGATTTGTAGGTGTGCAAGTGTTTGCCTCCCCGGTGATGTTAATTGCACTTGTGCGAAATTAAATGACGGTGACCTTCCTTATAGTTCGAGTGGAGCTCTTGTGAGTCGGAAGCCTCTAATCTATGAATGCAATGCATCTTGCTGTTGTTCTTCAAATTGCCGAAACAGAGTGACTCAAAAGGGTGTTAGAATCCAGTTTGAGGTTTTCAAGACAAGGGATAGAGGCTGGGGGCTACGATCTTGGGATCCTATTCGGGCAGGTACTTTTATTTGTGAGTACACTGGAGAAGTCATAAATAAGATCAATTTAGAGGTTGACAATGCTGAAGATGATCACTATATCTTTCAAACAATCGGTGTTGATGAAAAAGCATTTAAATGGAATTATGGGCCTGAGTTGTTAGGGGATCCGAGTGCTGATTACTCAAGTGAAAATCTGGGGCCATTACCTATCATTATAAGTGCAAGGCATATGGGGAATATATCTCGTTTCATGAATCATAGTTGTTCTCCTAATGTCTTTTGGCAGCCGATTTTGTATGATCATGGCGATGAAGGATATCCACACATTATGTTTTTTGCAATGAAGCATATTCCTCCGCTGACTGAGCTGACTTATGATTATGGTATGAGTAATGGTGCTGGCTCTCGCATGACGAGGAAATGTTTATGTGGATCACCAAAGTGTCGAGGACTTTTTGGATAAAGATTTAGCAATATATCTATGGAGCGTGTTTTTGCTAATCCAGTGTGTGAAGGTAAGAAATTGTCATAATTTCTATGTTTAGTTCTCTAGCGTAATTTAGAAGTTTTGTTCATATATTGCTTGAGGTTATTCCTTGTTATTTTTCGTTTCAAGAATTTTACGAGAAACATACGTACGTTCTGTAGTAATTTTGGAAGATGGTAGATGGATGTGCTTTCATATTGAATAGATTGTGACATTTTCTATTTAAAGCTGATACAGACTTATATTAATGTAGTTTGAGTTATTTCTCCACGAAATGTTTTTCTCAGTGTTTAGTTTTCCTTCTCTATCTATTATTATTAGAGCCAGAAGGTTCTTGTAGTTTTGAATTTTGTTGCATAAGGAATTGAGTGAAAAGGAGAAAATAATAAGGCACACAACTCATTCTTCCTATTTAGTACATCAAAACACGAAAATACTTTTCTTATTCTCTTTGTTGACTGATAAAGGAAAGCATAGTAGAATGCTTTTTTTTCTACAATATACTGAGCAGAACATAGGGTATTACATATTTGCAGACTTCATCAAAATTATAAGACTTTATGTGTTATGTAATTAGCACAAAATATAGTAGGTTATATGAAATAGTTTGACAAACTTGTATCTTCAAATACAATATCTGAGGCTCATTCAACTGGGGTGTCCCCTGCGTTCCCAACTGAAGCGCGTCGCACTTGCGATCTGCATGTCCCATATAATCTCCAATGTGAACAGAAAACCACAGATTAAATGCAAGCATACGGGGCACAAATTTCACCAACCCCCTAATCCCCCACCCCACACCCCCACCAAAAAAAAAAACCACAAAAAAAGGAAAAAAAAACTTTTGTTTCTTGCTACAACACCAAAAACTTTTCCCCCATTAACACCCAAAGTGACGAAGTACTCCTTGGGGAACCCTTCTTCATCCTTTTAATTAATTTGTTAAAAAAGGATTAAGGTAAGGGTTAGGGGAAGGGGGAAGAGGAGCATTTATTTGCAAATTGCCTAATGTGAGATTTTGTTTTGCAAAAAAATTATTAAAAAGGAATGAGAACAGGATTTTTTGACCTGAGGGACATTTCCGTCAATATTTGGGGTTTATGTGGGAAAAGTCCCAAAGTATTGAGGTTCTTTGTGCAATTACCCTTTATTTTAGTCTTGTTTCTTATTTTAATTTTCACTATATTTGATCATAACCTTTCAAATGTCAAAGTCCCTTTTTTTCACCCTATTTAAATACTAGTTGGTACCTATCAATGCAGAAAAAGTATTACTTTCTTGAATTTGTTTACTGTTGTGCCTTTTTGGGACATAAACCAATGTGGGATTTTCGTTATTTTTCCCAAGTTTGCGTAAGCTAATCATTTGTTTACACATGCTTGCTTATTATTGTGGCAGACTACTAAAACAAATACTAAGAGAAGGTGGGTCCAACCATCTTAAATAAGGTTTTGGAAAAAGGATGATTAAAAGTTTGGAATGGCAGAAAAGGCAGATCATAATTATATACATTTTCCTATTTAAGGATCAAATATATTATGGTGCAACTTTACAATCTGTTCAAATACCCGACACAAAATGATGTTGATTGTATAATTAGGGGTATTTGGTCATTCAGTTTGGACATGTATACACATAGACAATTTAAATAATACACGCAGCATATAAGTAAGGGTAGTTGTTACTGTCTCAATAAATACCCAAGGAATTAAAATCATCTGGTTAATGTGACCAACAATCCTTAGATGAACCGTATATTTTTAAGCTGTGCTTTAGTGAGTAGACTTTCATCTTTTGTGTGAAGTCATTAGTGAAAGTGACGAACTAGATACGCCACACACATTTGCATGAATGTAACTCAATAAAGTTATTTTCCCTGAAATGCAATAGTAAAACTCATATTGCTTTCATGTGATGCAATATTTGCAGGAATCTAACTTGCACTCTGGGATTACCATAAGCATTTCTTTGACATGCAATTTCCAAAGACCTTCACTCTTGTGATTCAAGGGCATGTGCCAAAAATCATGAGATTTCACTTGTTTCTATAATGAATCTTGGACACCATTCACGTTAAAGCTGTCATGCATATTTTTAAAGGTGGTAAACAAACTCTTGTGTGAGCAGATGAAATAAATGCTACAAGAGTTAAAAATCGGATCATGATTTATAAGTTAACAACCCAATGGTCTTGCATCCCAAATTGCTTTTCCCCTAACCATGCATTGTAGTTTTAGTACTTATTTTTATGTGTCCTGGCTTGTGGCAAAATTAGCATCCACTGTTGATCGGAAAGATTGGATTTTGATGTCGAGTTACTTCCACCTCATTGGCTCCATGACCTCCCTCTTTCATTAGCAACCGGCTTCGATGATTTTTTTTTAATTACATGATTTGCTTTATTCATGATCTATCACGAATCTTAGATGCAATGATGTTGGCTCAGATATAAATTGTTAAAATTAGGTTAAAGGCAGAAACTAAATTTCCTTGACGACGAAATAAAAAGGCAGTAATCATACAAGCGAGAAAACACATATGCAATTAGAATTCTTCTCCCTTTATAAGAAAAATAACTCTACCTCCTTATTAGTAAACTCTTTTATTTACAACTCTAATTTCTTTTGAATGCCAGTCCGCCCTATGTATATATAGAAGAATCACAAGTGATGACTCACAAGATGACTCTGAGTAAAACTAATTGCATAAACAATTCAAGTTAATTTGCATCCTAGAGGCCATGCTTGGTTGATGATGTTCGTTTACACGAGAAATCAGATCGCACTGAAACTTGAGAAAATAACAGCGAGAGACATAAGTTTTGATGCATTTAGTGAGCTATTAGTTCTTGGGCAAATGAGTTACGGTCTAAGCTAATTCTTGGGCAAATGAGTTAGAACCTAAGTTAGTCCAAGTTTTTCAAATTGAGTTAGATAATTGTTTCCATTTCTGTGTTAAAAAGTTGATAGTTAATCAGAGACAGTGTTGCAGTGTTCGACACATATGTAAGCGGTGGTCCTTTCTAGTTTGAATACAAGAAATGCACGGCTGATGTCATTCATTATATTCTCAGGCTTTAGGCTACTTATGGGTAAAAAGATATGATTAAAGATCTATTTCCCCCATCAAGTGTTCCAGTTTCTTGTAAGCGGTATCATAGTTTGAATACAAGAACTGCATGGCTGAACATCATTCATCATATTCTCACGCTTTAGACTACTTATGGGTGAAAAGATATATGATTAAAGATCTATTTCCCCCATTAAGTGCTCTAATTTCTTGTTCAATTTGCTTCCATTGGATGAATGGGCAAAAAATTTAAAGCTGTATACTTTTTTTTAGCATTATAGAGCATGTGTCGCTGATTTTCTACAGTCTGGATCACCGGTCCACCATGCAATTCTGGTAAGTCTCGAGAATTTTCTTTGTTAGCTCGCTAGCCAACCACTTGGCTAGTTTGTCAGGATTCGGAAGCAAATTCTTCCAAGCCAAATTCAAGGGTAGGCCAATGAAAAAGGAAAGGGTTAATTGTGGATAGACCCCTTGTGCTATCATTGGCGAAAGGAAAAAAAAGCACCCACACACAAAACCCCCAACCAAAAAAAGCAAAAAGAAAAAAAGGGTGAGTTTTTTACTCTTTTACCTGCAGGGAGACTTTTCTTTTGACAATTATACCCTCTGAGGTTAAAAGAGTAGGAAAAAAATCACTCAGGGGATTACTGAGGGGTTTTATCCGCTTAACTCAAAAGGAAAATGTTCTACTAGAGCTGAAACTGATATGCTTATTTAAAGCCTCCTACAGGTTAAAAATCAAAGCATTATGAGCCTTCTTCCCTATGAACCATATAACCACAAAATAGACGTCTACAAGTCTTAAGTTCGTTAGAACTATAATCTAAATATTTGAGTTGGTATGTGGGTAAGATGGTACAGCTTTCATTATGATTGAATTCGGATAACTCGTTTTTTTATCCTTTCTAATCGAATTCTGTGTTGCATTACATAATTTTGCTACACCTGTTCATGCTTTGACTTGAATTATTGCTAACAGATGCTGGTATTTATATTGTGTTTCCTCGTTTCAGGTTTTGGTTTCTTGTACCTGCAGTAGATGGTAAGCACAAACCTAAAAGAAATCTAAAGCAGAATCTGAGACGCGAAGGTATATATCGTCGCTGTATTTTGATAGCTTATGTGCAGACTGTAGGCACAAAATCAGCCATTCTGTAGTAAATTCTAGAACTAAATGAAGTAGCTCTCTGTTTTTTGTTGTAGTTGAAGTTCTTTCAACTGCATAACTTTAAAATCTGTGGTCTTGAATTAAAGCTTTTGCGTCGTCTTTGCTGTAAGATAATTATCGACTCTCCTTTTTAGATTTTGAACAGGTTGGGTGTCTTGAAAGCATTTTCTGGTGGAACAGTGCTTTATTATGAGTGGTTTGTGATACTCTATGATGTAAAAATTATTTCTTGTCCATATTTTCGGGGTTATTTGCACTTAAATACCTCAAATTAATACCATTTTCTACTGTGATACCAAAAATTTTCTTCTTGCCCGAGAACTCCGAAGCTCGAAAACATTCAATGTGGTGGAACTTTTATTTGTGGGGTATCAATGTGATACTCTATGATGTTAAAATTATTTGTTGTCCATATTTTCGGGGTATCAATGTAGAACTTTTATGAAGTTTGGGGGTATCACATTTAAAAATAGTTTTTAACTTTGAGGTATCAAAGTGTAAATAGCCCATATCTTTTACTATATATCTGATGATATCTATAGGTTTACATTCTATGTAACTTGCTCTGTAAGCACCAATTAGGCGTTTAGTTGCTTTCTATATTCATGAGTTTCTGCTTGCTTGGCAAATTCGATTATTAGCGTTGCAATTTTCTTCTATTCAAGTTGGTTTAACGTATAAATGTGGATTTATGAGGATGAGAAACTTCTACAATTTGTGGTTAGCATTTTTTATTTCTTTTTTTTTGGAGATCACTATTTGCGGGTAGTTGGGTTGATCGTTATTTTATTCGGAGTCTTAGAAGTAGCTAAGGACTATGTGATGATGCTTTTATAGATATACTTGTCCTTTTTAATGAATGCGGTGAATAGCAGGTTTTAAACAATGAGAAATAAAAATTAACGAATTGAAATGATGTATACCATGTCATTTTAATCTCAAATTTATGGTTGAAAAAAAAAATTAACACGAAAATTAGCGTTTGTGAACCTTGTATATTGTGTTTTTTCTCTGTTTTCCACTCTATCTTTCATTTTTAGACAAAAGAATTCAATTGATGAGATTGATGCGTTGTTCCGGTAGGAATTTGAAATACAGATGATAAATAATTGAAAATGAGAAAATCACTTATTACATGAATTAAGCATTGTCATTACATATTAAACCTAAAATCTCATTTTAAAAAACCTTGTAAAATAGAACCCCCGTGCAAAAATGAACTTTTGGTTTTGGGTTTTTTTTTTTTTTTTTTTGGGGGATAATTTTGCTACACCTGTTCATGCTTTGACTTGAATTATTGCTAACAGATGCTGGTATTTATATTGTGTTTCCTCGTTTCAGGTTTTGGTTTCTTGTACCTGCAGTAGATGGTAAGCACAAACCTAAAAGAAATCTAAAGCAGAATCTGAGACGCGAAGGTATATATCGTCGCTGTATTTTGATAGCTTATGTGCAGACTGTAGGCACAAAATCAGCCATTCTGTAGTAAATTCTAGAACTAAATGAAGTAGCTCTCTGTTTTTTGTTGTAGTTGAAGTTCTTTCAACTGCATAACTTTAAAATCTGTGGTCTTGAATTAAAGCTTTTGCGTCGTCTTTGCTGTAAGATAATTATCGACTCTCCTTTTTAGATTTTGAACAGGTTGGGTGTCTTGAAAGCATTTTCTGGTGGAACAGTGCTTTATTATGAGTGGTTTGTGATACTCTATGATGTAAAAATTATTTCTTGTCCATATTTTCGGGGTTATTTGCACTTAAATACCTCAAATTAATACCATTTTCTACTGTGATACCAAAAATTTTCTTCTTGCCCGAGAACTCCGAAGCTCGAAAACATTCAATGTGGTGGAACTTTTATTTGTGGGGTATCAATGTGATACTCTATGATGTTAAAATTATTTGTTGTCCATATTTTCGGGGTATCAATGTAGAACTTTTATGAAGTTTGGGGGTATCACATTTAAAAATAGTTTTTAACTTTGAGGTATCAAAGTGTAAATAGCCCATATCTTTTACTATATATCTGATGATATCTATAGGTTTACATTCTATGTAACTTGCTCTGTAAGCACCAATTAGGCGTTTAGTTGCTTTCTATATTCATGAGTTTCTGCTTGCTTGGCAAATTCGATTATTAGCGTTGCAATTTTCTTCTATTCAAGTTGGTTTAACGTATAAATGTGGATTTATGAGGATGAGAAACTTCTACAATTTGTGGTTAGCATTTTTTATTTCTTTTTTTTTGGAGATCACTATTTGCGGGTAGTTGGGTTGATCGTTATTTTATTCGGAGTCTTAGAAGTAGCTAAGGACTATGTGATGATGCTTTTATAGATATACTTGTCCTTTTTAATGAATGCGGTGAATAGCAGGTTTTAAACAATGAGAAATAAAAATTAACGAATTGAAATGATGTATACCATGTCATTTTAATCTCAAATTTATGGTTGAAAAAAAAAATTAACACGAAAATTAGCGTTTGTGAACCTTGTATATTGTGTTTTTTCTCTGTTTTCCACTCTATCTTTCATTTTTAGACAAAAGAATTCAATTGATGAGATTGATGCGTTGTTCCGGTAGGAATTTGAAATACAGATGATAAATAATTGAAAATGAGAAAATCACTTATTACATGAATTAAGCATTGTCATTACATATTAAACCTAAAATCTCATTTTAAAAAACCTTGTAAAATAGAACCCCCGTGCAAAAATGAACTTTTGGTTTTGGGTTTTTTTTTTTTTTCTTTTACGCGGGGGGTGGGGGTGGGGGGGGGATGATAAATGGGGGACGGAATAAAACATCTATTAACAGCAACAATTAAAAAAATTTGAGCTGTTTCCGATGCCTCCCTGCTCGAAAACCTCAACATCACGCAAGAGTTCAGTCATGCTGACTACAACAGGGAATTATCATGTTATAATGTAACAACAAAAAAAAACAAAACAAAAAACAAAGCCAAAAAAATAAAAAGTTCAAATTTCTCTGAACAAAACTGCAATGAAAAAAAATCAACATGCTTTATTTATCAACAATTTAACTAACACATAAAACAATCAAAAGAAAAAAAAAAAGAAGAAAGAGCTGTTTCCAATCACGGCATTGCTGCCCTTGTACTGTTTGCACGACGACACTCGCAGATGCACAGGCTACGTGACTCCTTCACCACACGTTGTGATCGCCGTAGATGCAACTTGATGTTCACCAACTTACCAGCAATCTAGAACATGTAAACAATAAGGAATCAACCTTTAAAACATTGAACAATAACAAGGAAAATCTATCATGCCCCGCACGCAGAAAAGAAAATGAAAATAATTAACAGTTCTGTAAGGTGAAAGGTAGGCTTTCGACGACGGAATCCCTACTTTTTGACAAGTAGCTTTGATGCTAGATAAAATGCAGGGGAAAACACTAACCATTCTCCAGGTTAAGCGGTTGAGCTGGACTCGAATACAAAAAATACCGTGAATACTGAAACAGGCAAATGAATCAATAAAAACTGCTTGGTGAGAACATAAGTTAACTTAATGGCATTTTAAGCATGAAGAAATGCAAAGTAAAGCTCTATCGTGTTTACAAACCTTGGGAAGGTTTGCTTGCATTTCTTTGATTCGCCTAGAATCAATACTCTTTAGAAATTCTATAAGCCAGCCAGGTTGTATAGCATCACCCGAAGAAACAAAAAGAGCAATCTGTATACACAAGGAAAATAAATAAGGTTATCATCCATATTGTATTCCTAGAGTTTCTAAATATTCATTTCTATTGGAATTGGAAATCCAAAAGAAATTACCATCAGAAGAAGGGAAAGACAGACAATCTGAAAGGAAATATACTGATAAGAAAAAAAAAAAAAGGAAAGGAGGATATCCTATTTCTTGGCTGCAGACATTTTAAAAGTAACCCTCTTGAATTAATAGAGAACCAAAATATATCGAAGGGAGGGGGAAAAGTAAGCATCCTAGATGCTAGGTATGAAGTGAGCAGAAGGAACGGATTAACATCCTATATTTTGACCATACACATTTCAAATTAATCCCTCCCGATGCATGAATCTACTCAAGCATCAAACGAGCCAGCTCATTTAACAATTTGCTGGTCTCATCATGCATTCCATTCTTCTAGTGATGGTACATTCCTTTTGGATCTTTGGAGCAAACCTTAGGATGACATCAAACAGAGACATACCTTTTTTTTCCTTCCAGTTTTGGGGGTGTGTGGGGGAGCGGGTCGGGGTTGGGGATGAATAATGAACTGTTTTAACAAATTGACAAGAAGCTAACTGCTAACATATGAATGCATGACGAGGAACGACTGCATGACAAGACAAATGAGCCGTTAAACAAATTGGCAAATAGACAGTTTCATATGAATGCATAAGGAGGGTGGTGAAATGGAGATCACATGCACGACGAGACAACAAAGACAAACTAGCAAATACATGCTTTCATATGACTACACTGAATGCAACAAATAAGATGTAATAAGACTAGAACAACTAGGTTGCATTTGATGTTTGGTATGCGACAGTTACAGGAAGTGATTAGGAAAACAAAGAAGAAGAATATCATTGAGAAAGGATCGGGTGTAACAAAATAGTAACCAGATAATATGTTGATCCTGAGGATTTTCCATACTGCTTCATTTTGTTGTAGTTCATGCTAACTAGGGAAGCATCTTAAAAAGCTTAATCCAGTCTAACCAAGTTAAGTTTCCAAGCGGTCATGTTTCCCTCACTTCAGTACAGGTAGCACGAATGAAAATATGTGCATGCACGTGTTTGTAGAGATGGAGAAGGCAAACCTTGCGATAATCGAGTATTCCTTCGAAAGGAAGCTCCAATTCATCACTGACAATAACAGGAATACACTCGCTCACAATTGAATCAAAAAGCCGGGCAGAAGATGGGGTATCCCCAGCAGGGCTCAGGCAAAATACAGACCTGGATGCAATACAAAGAAGCTAAATTCATAACATGCTCCACTAAAATTCTGACCTGTTAGAACCTTTGGAAAAGGAACATTTATTACTCGCGCATGCCTGTCTGAGCTGCCTCTTTCCTGGGAACTTCCCTCTTCTATAACGACACCCTCTGCATCATGTAGCACTGCCACAAGTTTATTACGGATCTTTCCTCCCTGATTCAGTATTAAAAGATCAGTAAACATGCATCGCATCAAAACTAAGCAAGCAAGGAATTGCAT